ATTATAATTTAAGATGTTTGCAAAGTTAAATGTAAGATTGAGACTCCATATTGCCATTTAGTATGCTTCACATTACAAGATATAAAAACTAATCCCAAACTCCAGGCGCAGTGTCTCATGCCTATAATCCTAGCACTATGGGAGGCCAAGGCAGGTGGATTGTTTGAGCTTAATAGTTTAAGACCAGCCTGAGCAAGAGGGAGACTGTCTCTAAAACTAGCCAAGCATTGTAGTGAGCGCCTATAGTCCCAGCTACTAGGGAGGCTGAGGCAAATTGATTGAGCCCAAGAGTTTGAGGTTGCTGTGAGGTATGACACCATGGCACTCTACCAAGGGTGACAAAGTGAGACTCTGTCTCACAAAAAACTAATCCCCCATTTATGGAATGTTAAGCTGATACTCCAAATGGTCAAAACCTCCCATATTCAATGTCCCACGCTATTTTCTGGTTGTACAAAAAAATCAACAACCAGCAAATGATTTCACCTTTTTTAAAAAAAAAGCATTATCCCCAGCCCGGACCCGCCGAACAACAATGACGGCTGCAACCAAAAAATGGCCAGGCGTTGTGGCGGGCGCCTGTGGTCCCAGCTACTTGGGAGCAGAGGCAGGAGACTCGCTTGAGCCCAGGAGTTGGAGGTTGCTGTGAGCGCGATGCCAGGGCACTCTACCCAGGGGGATAGCTTGAGGCTCCGTCTCCAAAAAAAAAAAAAAAAAAAAAAGCATTTACACTTAAAAAATGGGATGATGTAGGATTGCCTCCTTAAAAACACTTCTAGAGCTACTAAAAAACTTGCGTTAAAAATATTCCCCTGGATTGTGCAAAGGAGACAGGGACCACTGATAGACATCGTGTATGATATTAAGCAAACTTGGCTTCCTTCCTATCAGCGGCTGGTCTCTCTTCAGTTTTAGTTTCTCCATTTTCTGCAGGTGAACCTTTAGTTTCTTGGTTAGCCATTTCACGACCTGCTTTCCCTTTGCTCCCCTTTCCCTTTTTGGTTGCACTTTTTTGTTTGAGGATTTATCCTTTGCTGCTGCCTTTTTTGGCTTCGTTTCCACTTTTGCAGATTTAGCTGAGAACTGCACCTATCTCCTCTTGGGCTCTTCCTTCCCCAAGCCTTGGCAAAGCTGGCCACAGGTGCCTGCAAGCAGGCTTGCTGGAGCCTAACTGAAGCTGGGCTGCCTGGCCTCTGCCACTCCTCTCACCACTGAGCTGCTGACACTTGTGGCTGAGGAAGGTGGGAGAATCAGAAGGAACCAGACTGGAAACACGCCTCCTGTCTGTCTGCTGTTTTCTAGACTGCAGTTCTGTATGTGCTCTGGATATATACAGTCCTGTTATCTTGTAAATTTTCTTTCTCATTCTGCATTTTCTAAGTTTTTTTTTTTTTTAAAGACAGGACCTCACAATTGCCCTGGCTGAAGTGCAGTGGCATCATCATAGCTCACCGCAACTTCAAACTCCTAGGCTTAAGTAATCCTGCCTTAGCCTTCTGAGTAGCTGGGACTACAGCCATGTCTGGCTAATTTGTACAGACAGGGTCTTACTATGTTGCTCAAGCTGGAAAGTTTCTAATACTAAAGAAGTTGAGTTAGGCGCAGTGGCTCACACCTGTAATCCCAACACTTGGGAGACTGATGCAGGTAGATTGCCTGAGCTTACAGGTTCAAGATCAGCCTGAGCCAGAGTCCATCTCTAAAAAATAGCTGGGTGTTGTGGCAGGCAACTGTAGTCCCAGCTACTTGGGAGTCTGAGGCAAGAAGATCAGTTGAACCCAAGAGTCTGAGGTTGCTGTGAGCTAAGACACCACCACACTCTATCAAAGGTGATCAAGTGAGACTGTCTCAAAAAATAAATAAATAAATAAATAAAGTTAGGCAGCGCCTGTGGCTCAAAGGAGTAGGGCGCCAGCCCCATATGCGGGAGGTGGTGAGTTCAAACCCAACCCCAGCCAAAAAATAATAATAATAATTAAGTTGAATTTATCAACTTCTTGATTTTCCTCTAACTCTGCAATCATGAAAACCTATTATCCCTATTTTTGTACTTGTATTTTAATGTCTCTCTCACCTCAACAGTAAACTTTATGAAGAAAACAGTTTTGTTTATACTGTAAAGCAGTAACTCTTCAACGATGCTCTGATGGAGAAATGCCAAGGAAGGAGGGGTGGTATACACCTAGTGTTCTAACTGGTCTCTACGATAACCTCATCTTCCAAGCAGGGAAACTTTGGCTCAAACAGGATGGATGACATGACCAAGGAAAACAGAGCTCCCAGGTACATGGGTTTCCAAGCTATAGTTTAAGCCAGTCTAGTTACTTCCCAGAAGCATGTCTGTAGGCAAATTACTTAAGTCTCCCTGAGTACAAAGTTTCCTCAAAGAGAAAATGATTACCATGGAAAAAAAAAATGTTTGCAAAGATCTCAGCTTCAAGCCTGGTCCCTACCACCAGTCCAAGAGAGAACAGGACCAAAATGAGTGGAATAAAGGGTTAACTCCCTCATACCCTCCCAGCTATGAGGCCCATGCTCTTACCCCACACTAAGAGGGAAGGGTAGACAAGCGCCCTGCCCACCCCTCCCAGAGGGAGCACATGATGTGATAATTGGCAGATGAAATCTTATCCACATCCGGTCCACCTCTTCCCGGTACCTCTGACTCCCACTGACTTTTCCACCAGGTGCTGCCTAGCCCAGCTGTTGACTTGATTGACTTCTGGAACACCACAGTCTATCTGGCTCCCAGAGAGGGATCAACCCACACTCTCCCATATTACTCAGGGATTGAGACACCCCAAGGAACCTGCCTGAGGCCCACATGGTGAGGGTGGCTGCCCTCTAGGAGTGGGAAGGGAAACTGCCAGTTTCGGTCTGCACTGATAAAGGGGTGAGGAAGACCTGGTCAATCCCTGAAGGGATGAGGAAGACCTGGTCAGTCCCTGGGGAAGAGGTAACTCCCAGCACACTGGCTTTTCAATGCACAAAGCCCAATTATGAAGGCCACTGACTTTATTGATCTAAAAACTTTACACGGACAGTGTCTGTTCTGCCCCAAATGGAGCCAAATGGCATCAAACAGACAGGCGTTTTAAAGGTGAGGGGAAGGGAAGGGACCAAGAATCCACTCAGGAAAGCTGATAACTGCTAACATGGAACTGGGAGGGGAAGGAAAAGGGAGATGCATGCAAGTGCAAAAGAATTCCAAAAAAGTTGAAATGGTGAGGGGAGAAAACTCCCAAAAGACCTTGGAGTACATCGGAGGTGACTACAATAATAGCAATCTTTTCCTTTGTAGAGGACGAGGAAGGAGTCCCCACTCAGCTGCAAATTCTGGAGACTGAATGCTGGGGTTGGGGATTGAGGGATCCCCAGAGAGCATCACAAGAAGGCGTCACACCACTCTCGGAGGCATCCAAAGCAATCTCGGGACTGCTTAGCATTGGCGCCACATGTGTCCTTCAGCCATTCCCGGAAAAGGTCTTCATCTTTCTTTAGCACCAGGAACTGGCCAAGGACCACATATGCCTGTGAAACAAAGTAAAGGGTATACCAAGTACTCAGTAGGGGCTAACAGTAAGAAAGCCACTTTGTGGCATTCAAAGCACGTAAGTCTTAGACCGGGCAGGTTTTGCCCCCGGACCTCTTGTCTACTACATGGTCAGTCTTTAGCAGTCTCTTAAGATTATACACCACTATCCACCCCACAACAGATACACTCACTTTTCCTCACTCCCAACCTACCCGGAAATTTTTCTATCAACAAAACCAAGCTGCATTGACTTATCTGCCAGGAAATACCACTTCTACTCCCAGCCCTCCTCAGTTCATGGGCCCACCACACACCTTGTCAAAGCCCCTTTCCTCCAGCTTCTTGCCCAGGACTTCACCAATCCCAGCTAAGCTCCCCACTGGCTTTTCCCCCATGGGCTCTGCCACGAAGTCTCGGTGCTTTTGGGAGGTTGTCATCTTGATCAGGTTTAATCTGGGAATGCCAACAAAAGGCAGGTTAAAGCTTTAGATCAATAACTCACAAGTGCCCCTTAGCAAACTCATATTAAAAAGTAACTAGGCCAGCTTTATAATGGCTTACTCCGTTCCTCTCACTTTAGAGGAGAAAACTGAGTTCCAAAGAGAAACTTTTCTCACTATTCAGGGAAAAAAAAAAATTTCTTCTCCTTCCTATTGCCCTCGAAGACATACTGTTCTGCTCTAACAGGTGGCGCACTCCAGGCAGTGGAAAGGTTTCAATACTCAGTGCCCGCTCTGAAGCTGTCACTGTGACCTTGGCTGAGCAAACGCAACGATCCTGCTCGCAACAACCACCTGGTATGAAAAGCAAATGAAAAATCTCTGCCCCATTTGCCCTCCACAAGCCATTCACAGAGCGAAGGAGCAGTCCGAAAGGGCCGCACAGAGGACCCCGCAGGCTGGCTAGGTTCGCGCCATGCTTGGTCCCGCTGGCCCCGCCCCCTCCGCACCGCCCCGCTCCCACGCGCTGCGCCCCGCCTTCTCCCAGCAGAGCGGCCGGGCCCTCTCCTAGCCTCTTCTGGCCCGCCACAGCGCTTGCGACTCCTCTTCTCCCCTCCTTCCCGCGCCTTCCCTGGACTCCAGTCACCGCCCTGCTCCGCGGCTCGCGCTCACCAGCACCTCCTGTTCCCGTAACGGTTCCTCGCGCCACCCGGCCGCTCTCGTCGATACCTCAAACTAGAACTTTCTCCAATTTCCGCTTCCGGGTCGTCTCAATAGCCGCCTTAAAAAAAAAAAAAACCAGTTGGGCGCCTCTAGACACTAGAGGGCCATAGAGTTCGTGCGCCCCAGACGTCACCAGCGTCTATAGCGGGAAGCCCAGCTGCTTTCTACGGTCTCGCTACTCGAGCAGTTCTTCCAGTTGGAAGAGAGAGGCCTCCAGGGAGAATACTACTTTAATCGGCTCCCCGGAACTCAAGGACTTAGGTTTGACCAACCTGGCGGTGGGAAGAGTTAAAGAGACGGACAAGGGAGGGCAAGGGTGGCGGGGAGGCTTCCGAGAGAGCGCCGGAAGGGTCAGACCCGGACTCGCGTTGCCCTCCTTACTGTCGGTTTGGCGGGACCTCTGAACACTGGAGTCCCGAGTTCAAAGTGACGCTACTGTCGCTGCGGCTGGCAAGTTCTTTTTCTGTGCTTTTATTGGCTCAACTTTGAAGTTAGTCGTGGACGAGCCGTTTTCAGCCTGGAAAACGGGGTGGCTTGGGCATCGCCCTTGGGAGCCGAGGGCCAGAGAGTAAGTGTGGATCTTTTTCTGAAGGTCTTTCCTCCGGCTTGTGGGGAGGAGGTCAGGGAACAACAACTTGAGATGGCACGTCGGAGTTTTCTTTGGAAAAGAAGGCTATCGTATTTTAAGTATTCAAGTCAGAAATCTGGCAAATGCCGCAGACCAAACCAGCTCACCTGACCTTTGGTTAACTCAGTCCTGGCTTGGACCATCGCAGTAGTCATCTAATTAGTCTGTGGTTGTAATGTATTTCTAGATATAGCATCTGTGTTGTGTGGCTGTGGTAGACTTTGATTGTATGTGCATGTTAAGGAAAATACAGTTTAACTCCTTCTGGAGAGGTTGCCAGAGTGACTTCTTGGGAACATGTGTGTAGTTTTGTGATCACACCAGGTAATAAGAGTTATTTTAATATGACATTCACTGTAGTGTTTGCGCTATTTTGGTTTTTTATTTTTTTATTTATTTATTTATTTTATTTTTGAGAAAGAGCCTCAAGCTGTCGCCCTGGGTAGAGTTCTGTGGCATCACAGCGCACAGCAACCTCCAACTCCTGGGCTCAAGCGATTCTCCTGCCTCCGCCTCCCAAGTAGCTGAAACTACAGGCGCCCACCACAACGCCTGGCTATATATATATATGTATATATATATATTTTTTTTTTTTTTTGGTTGCAGCCATCGTTGTTTTGGCGGGCCCCGGACTGGATTCGAACCCGCCAGGTCAGTTGTATGTGGCTGGCACCTTAGCCGTTTGAGCCACAGGCACCGAGCCTATCTTGGTTTTTTAAACTGAATTAGCTATCTTTCTGTGGCTTACAGAAGTTGAACAGTTAGCGATAACCAAGGTAGGATTTGAATCCAGTCAATTAGACTTCACAGCCCATATTCCTAACCAGGACACAGTGTCCTTTCCCAGTAAAAGGTCTCTCCTAATCTTCAAAATCATCCTGGGTTCTGAGCTTGCCATCTAAGGATTTCAGGAGAAGGATGAGTTAAGTCTTCCTAACGTTCAAACAGGGGTTTGCATTTCTAACAGTCCTTCCTCCTCTCTGTGTCACTATCCACTCTGGGACAGGACCAAACATGTCTCAGGCCACCAAGAGGAAGCATGTGGTGAAGGAGTTGCTAGGGGAGCACATGGTGCCCTCTGACCACCAACAGATCGTAAGGGTGAGTGGCATTGGGGAGGAGCTGCTCTGCCCTCCATCCTTCCATTCCTTAGGGTCCCTGGGGTGGGGGTAAGGTGCAGTGCATCTCAGAAGGTATTTGGTCTGACTAATGAGACTAATCCTTGGTCTCTCCTGAACCAGGTACTCAGGACCCCAGGGAACAATCTGCATGAGGTGGAAACAGCCCAGGGGCAGCGCTTCCTAGTGAGCATGCCTTCCAAGTACCGCAAGAACATCTGGATTAAGAGAGGTGAGAGAGAGAGAGCCCTGTAGGTGATAGAACCATTTCCTGTGGCCTTAGCTTTCCCCATCACAGGCAGAACTGACTTTGCCTATTCTTTTTTAACTTGTAGGGGACTTTCTCATTGTTGATCCTATTGAAGAGGGAGAAAAGGTGAAGGCTGAGATCTCCTTTGTGCTCTGCAAAGACCACGTGCGCTCTCTGCAGAAGGAGGGACTCTGGTAAGGTGGTCCCTTTATCATTGGCTCTCTAGCTTCTGAGGGGTTTGAATTTCTAGCTGGGGATTTGGGGGAGATAAGAGAATGTCATTCTAAGTATGAATAACTGGAAATAGCTTCTTTTGCTGAGAGATTCTCTGTTCTTCCTGACCCTGGCTTTTTTCTTGGCACAGGCCTGAGGCCTTCTCTGAAGTGGCTAAGAAACACAACAACAGGAACAGGTGAGAAACAAGACTTATGTTAGGGAAGGTAAAAAATTGGGGTTCATACCTTCATACCCTGAGGGAAAGATAGTCTTCCTTTTTTCCTACCTAGGCTTATTTGTTGAGAGCTTCTGAATGTGTATTAATGGTATAATTAGGCTATCATTTAAAGGTTAGATGCTCTGTGCTAAAATCCTACCTTTGCTACTTTAAGCTGAGTGACTTTAAGCAAGTTATTTAATCTAAGAGTCTGTTTCCTCATCTATAAAACGAGAGATTTGTGAGGATTAAAGCTAAAGCTTGTAAGATTATTTAGTACAAGGGCAGCACCTGTGGTTCAAAGGGTAGGGTGCTGGCCCCATATGCCGGAGGTGGTGGGTTCAAACCTAGCCCTGGCCAAAAACTGCACAAAAAAAAAAAAAAAAAGATTATTTAGTACAGTACCTGGTATGTCATGTGGGTCCATTATGTGTTAATTGGTGGTGATAAAATTATTACCATACCTATGTAAAACCAATGGCTATAGCAAACTTTTGGGGTGGAGGCAGTCTTTACCCTATTTTCTTTGGCCAAGTATTGCCCACTGTTTGCTCTGACTCTGTCCCTCATGTTAGTCTTTAAGGATGTATTGCATTTTGGCAGGACTACAGGACCCTGACTGCATGGTCAAATGGTCCTTTTTTTGGAACTGTTTTAATTACAGATCTGATTTTCCTAGAAGGTATTGGGCTAATTCTTCTTTTTCCCCATGTAGACAGACTCAGCCAGAACTCCCAGCTGAGCCACAGTCATCAGAAGAGTCCAGCTCTGAAGATGATTCAGACCTCTTTGTTAACACCAACCGCAGACAGTATCATGAGAGTGAAGAGGAGAGCGAAGAGGAGGAGGCACCCTGAGACATGTGACCCATTCTGCACTTGCTCAGGGACTATTCCTTCCCTGGCTTTTCTAGGCTTGGACATTCCCAGGGTGCTCTGCAGACCTTTGCCCCTGGATGGGGACAAGGCAGGGCCTCTCTCTGAACTGACCTTTTGACAGGAGAATTAAACCCCTGGTGGGTGGTGACTTGTGCTGGTGTCTGAGTGACTCTCTTGGGGGAGGGAGACTTGTGGTAAAGTAAAAAACTGCTCCATAGTAGAGGTTTTATAGGCCAGAGGGCTGAATGGGAAGAAACAAGGAATTACTGGAAATCTTCGCTGGGTGCTGTGTTTTTTCTATCTCTATCTCTCTATATATGTATCTATTTATTTTTCTCTCTCTTTCTGCCAGGCCCTGTTACTGTGTCTTCATGTCTTCATGCATGTGTTTAGCTATCGAGAGTATCCTGCTTCAGTTCCTGTTTGCAGTTAATACTGATGCAAGCGTCTAGGATTACAGCCTTAGGACCTGATTCCTACCTGCCTTTGGGAAACACTGGGGTTAAATCCTGTAGTGTCTCCTGAGCTTTTTTTCCTTACTGTTCTAATTATCTGAGTTTACAGGAGTGCTCACCTTCTTGTGCCCTATACATCCCCTGGTTGCACCTCATCTCTCTTCCACCCTTAACTATCTGTCACCACCAGAATGTGTGCTACAGGGTAAGCAGACCTCTCTGTATCCTTAACCATGTTTTGAATGGTTCTTCCATTTCCTAATTTCATTTGAAACTTGGTTATTCCCTGAGGATATCACTTACCTTAGAACCTTTGATATGGAGGCTGCTCTTTCATTTTCACCCTTTGTGGCTACTAACACCATCACTTCCCACCAGAACCTCTTACAGACTACGTCTCATCCCACATGTTTGCCTCTGGCTATGCACTCATCCTTTTAGTTGCTGGCATTGACCTTTGAGTCACTGCTCATTCATACAAGAGTTTACCTCCTGGCTCAGAATCTTCCACCCCCTGCTGCGTCAGTTTCTGCATCTCATGGATGACACTATTCAGCATTATGGCTCCTTGGCTCCTTAGTATCCCCCAAACCTCTGACCTTGTCTTCTATTCCACCCTGCTGCCTCCATCCCTAGTCACTCTCAGGAAGCCTCACCAGTAGAACTTTCTGAACTAAAGTAGATGTACACCACCTCCTGGCTTTCTTGCTTACTGAGCTATACCTTCTCCAAAAAATGTTTATCCTCATTCTCATCATTGATCTCTTGTCTCCACATCCCTCCATGTATAGCACTAACTCCATAGTCTGTACCTTCTATTTCCCTGTCTCAATTTATTCATCTAGTAAAAACCCTAACCCTCAGTGAACTCAGTCATTCACCTCTGCCCAAACCCGTCATTATTAGGAGAGATAGTAATGAACCTTAATGAACAGTTGTACCTGAAGTTCATAATCACAAACATCAAGTGGATACTCAGCACTGCTTAGTAGATCTACACTGGGAGATCTTGTTTCAAAACTTCTGTCTCTGGCTCGGCGCCTGTGGCTCAAGTAGCTAAGGCACCGGCCACATACACCTAAGGTGGCGGGTTCGAATCTCCAACCCAG